TTTTTTTTTTTTTTTTGCTATCTGCTTTGATCCTTTAAATGTATCTTTAATTCTTTAAATTTTCTGGAATACTTTTTATGAAGCATTCTGGCTATTTTCCTGAGGTGAAATGCCTCAGGACTGAATCCTGCCAGGCTGCCAAGAGGAGGTGAGTCCAAAGAGGCTTGGAGCACCCTGGGAGAGTGGAAGGTGACTCTGAGCTTTAAGGTCCTTTCCAGCCCATCCCAGTCTGGGATTCTGGGACTGAAGGATCCTGACTGTTGTGCCCTGTCAGGAGCAGAATCTGGAGCAGCCTCCAGGGACTGCAGACAGCTCCCAGGAGCCTCCTTGTGCAGCCAGGGATCCTCCTGGGCAGGCATTCCAGGCAGGAACGCCTCTGGCTGTGGTCCAGGAGCTCGCTGGGGGAGGGAACTGCTCAAAGTGTCTCCTCTTGCCTCACTGACCTTCTTTTTTCTGCTACAAATCCCAATTCCACCTTTTCACTCAATCAATTCTTCAACAAGATGCAGAGCACTTGAGAGAGAAAGAAGACTAAATACCAACACCCTTGTTCTTTTAGGAAGTTTATTGATCATAATTTTACACAATACTAATCAGGATACACTGCCAGCAGCAACAGAACTGTCACTGATGGGATTCCCAGCCTACAAAATAACCCCTTGGGAAAAGGTATGTTAGGAGCTCCTTGGAGCAGAGCAGTTTCTTACTAGGTAAAAATGAGTTTAAAAACTGCAAGAAGCTTTCAGGAATGTTAAAGAGGCAACAGGATTCCCTGCTATAAAAAAAAAAACCAACACCCACATGATCTCCAGAGCCTTACAGCAAAAATGCCAATTAAAGGAATGAGAATGGAAAGAAGTGATGAATCCTACCCTGTTGTTAGGCAGCTATCCCAGTAAAATGTAAAACCCAACAAGGTAGGGGGTTCAAGGGAATTTTAACCATTTCTGAAAGCTAAAAAGAACCAATAAGCCAGCTTGGACTTGGTTCATATATAAAATCCCAGAATATCCTGAGCTGGAGGGACCCCCAGGGATCCCCCAGTGCCCCCCTGCCCTGCCCAGACCCCCCAACAAGCCCAGCCTGGGCATCCCTGGCAGCGCTGTCCAAGCTCTCCTGGAGCTCTGGCAGGTTGGGATTGTGACCACATTTCATGATATTAAATATCAGACTTCTGGACAAACCCAGAGCAAAAGCTGTGATCCAAAGTCCAAGAAGCAGAAGTTGACCTTCCTCTAAACCAGGCCTAACTGCAGCAACACAGATCATTCCTGTGTGCTTGTCACTGTAGTTTAACTCAGATTTAGGAGAGTAAAAACAGAGATCAGGCATTCAAAATATTCCTCCCTTGGCTGGTCTTGCTGAGGCTGAGTACAAGGATGGCGTTAAAAACTGGTCAAGAGTTACACAGAATATCAACACTGGTTATTAATATCAACCAGGGATGTGCTTAGAACCTTTTCACACCAGCTATTCCCATTTCAGGGATTTGGAATATCTACCTGGATTGCCTGAGGAAGGCTATGGCCCGGTAGCCAATGTCCCTCCTGTAGATGGCCCCCTGGAAGTGGATGGCAGCCACGCCCAGGTTGGCCTCCCGAAGCGCCGCGGGCAGGTCCTCCTTGATGGCCGTGACCGTGAGCACTCTGCCCCCGCTGGTCACCACCCTGCCGTCCTTCAGGGCTGTGCCTGCGTGGAACACCTCCAGCCCCAGCTGCTTGGCCTTAGCAAGCCCTGTGGGTATTGTGGAAAAGATCAGCTGTTGGTTAGAACGTTCTCAGTGAAGACATATGGAGCACTTTGTGTCTGAAAACCGCAGACGAAGTCAGGGTGATCCTGCTGGGAAATGGGAATAAATCTGTAAAAAATACCTCTGGAGGAGAGACAAGTCTGCCTGTGTGCTCAGGGATGTGGGAACAGGCATTAAGCTGGCACACAACAACTGATTCCAGCTGGGTTTTTATGCCTCAGTGACACCCAGAGCACAAAACTTGAGCATCAACGCGACCCAAGACCCCTGATCAGACCCTCCTGACTGCAGCAGGTATTAAATATCAGTGCTGTGCCAGTATCAAAGCACAGCATGGAGAACTGAAAATACACCAAAATAAACTGAGATGTGTGAAAATTCACCTGCTCTTGCTGACCCAGAACCAGAGTTTCTATGAATCTCAGTTCCAGCGATTCACCTTCATGCAGCAGGAGAGAACAGGGAGAGGCCAGGGGGAGGAATGAGCCTCCTGCAGCTTCTCCTGCTCTATTTACCTGTTATTTCCAAGCCCTTGGGATATGCCCCTGGATAGCCTTGGCTAGCCATGACCACAGTCACAGCTGCACTGTCCTCTTTCCAGGCTGGCATGGAGCTGGCCAACCTCCTGTTGATCACTGCCTGCATAACCTCGTACAGGTCGCTCCTCAGCAGGGGCAGAATCACCTGCAGAAACACAGCAACAAATCAGATGAGGTAATCTTGCATTTCCTGGCCTTGGAAAGACACTAATGCAGCTGAAAAAACAGCATTAAATATGCCCTTATATTGTACTTTCACACATCATACATACAGTGTATGTTGTGAGAGCCTTGAAGAGAATTTCTGTCCTTGAAGAGAATTATTACATATGGGGAGGAAAGGGTGAGGACAAAGAACCTAATTTGTTCTGAAGAATAGAAATTAAGAGTTTTGTTCCACTTGTTAGCAGAGAACAAGGAAAAATCCAGAATCCATTCCAGAAAAGACAGGGAAGTGCTGAGCTCTTCTCAAGCTAACCCTTGCACAGCCCAGATTTGAGTCCAGCCTAGTGAAATCCTCTCTGGAACAGAACAATTTCCTTTCAGACCTTCTGCCTTGAACAGACAACCCAAATATTTTAAATCTTGGTGCAATGAGCTGATTATTCATCCCAAATCTGGTTAACAACAGTGGTAGATGGCCACAGATTTTACTCCTCCCATAATGCCAGATTGTACAAAACAACTCACCTGACACTCTGGGTCACCAAATCTGCAGTTAAATTCCAGAACTTTAGGCCCATCTTTGGTGAGCATTAATCCAGCATAAAGCACACCTAGAACAAAAAAAAAAAAAATTATAGAAAAAAATCTCTCAGGAATTCACTTGTTTTAAATCTGTTGATAACAGGGTTTAAAAGGCTGCCACCTGTGCTCAGTGAATTTGAAAAACTGTAAAAATAAATCAGGCAGAAATAGTTGTCACAATTTTACAGCTTATTTTTGAACATTTTCCTTTCTGTTTCTCCTCACTTGAGAAATTATCCCCTGTTCACAAAATGACCTCTGTTGATTTCCATGGACTCTGAATCAAGGCACTGGTACCAAATCCAGTTCCTAATAAATCAAAGCTGTTTCCCTCAACCTCCAGTGTGAGTTGGGCTACAAAGAGGAAAAAGCAAAATAAAAGGTTGTTCTCTTTATGATTGAAAATCCCAAAGTTTTATACATACCCAGATAGGGGACACCTTCTTTCCTCATGCCATCAACAGTCTTCTGAAGAACAGTCTCTCTTATCTTCTGCAGCAAATCTTTAGAAATCTAATTAAAAAGGATTAGAAAACAGTGTGTAAAAAGGGAGGACTTGGTTTTGTGTTTTTAAGAGCCAGGCAGAATTCATGGATGGTTTCTTGCTCACTCCAATGGAAAGCTAATATTTTTCTCTCTATTTCTGCTAATAGAAGTTCCCTATCAAACAAACCCCAAACTACCTCAAGCCACAGCCAAAATTCACCATTAGCTTTGTTTGGCACAAGATGAAACTGTGGGTTTAAGCCCTTGGTTCTAATGAGCAGCATTTCATAATTAAATCCCATTCATAATACTAAAATCCCAATCAAATATAAGGTTGTAAAAATAACACTTCCCCCTTTATAATTCCAAGTAATTCAGTGGAGATATCCTCCTCTTTAGAGAGATTTGTGGAGCTGAGGATTTTACTGGCCAGGTCTGCTTTAGGCATCCAGCAGAGCCTATTCCCTCCTGCTCCTCATGCTGGAATTAAACATTCCCACAGGCTTTCAGTGACAGCTGGAGTAAAACATCCCCATATCAGTCCCTTTTCCCTTCCTCATTATTGCATTTTCCCCCTCCTTATCAATCCCTTCTCACCTGAGGAGCTGGGGAATAAGCTCCCATCCCTCCTGTGTTGGGGCCTTCGTCTCCATCCATCAGCCTCTTGTGGTCCTGGGCTGGGGGCATGGGAGCAATGGTGACTCCATCACTGAAACACAGGCACTAAAACAAGGACAGCAGTTCAAATTCCTGGGTGTGCTTACAATTAAATGCAATTAGTGCAAATAGGGTTGATTTTCAGCATGACCAAAGGGTATTTAAGAGGATAAACTCTGCCTCCCTGATAAGATAAAATAACTGATGGGGTTCAAAGCATTTGCCTTTTCCTCAGGAAGAAGGGACTCATTTTGTGTGACCTTCCTTCAAAAATTAATAAAACCTAGAAAAATGATACCATCGGCATTTGTACTAAAAAGAAACACTCAAAAGGTTTTAAATAAAAAATAATTAAAATACTGCCTGATGGAAATTACTTCTTCTTTTCCCCTCCCTGGAAGGAAGGCCTTACATTTCTTTCAAGACTTCATTTTCCTTGCTGATGAAGCTATTTAGTTGTGAAATATTTATAAATTATTTACATAGCAGTTGTTTTTATCCTCAATATCTTCAGAATAACAAGCCTGCTGGCATCTTCTGGAACTGGGTGATGTTCTGCACTCAAACTGGGTAACGTTGTTCCCTGTCTGGACTAATGGGAGCAGTACTCAAAACCATTTTACAGTGCTAATTATAAACCAGGAAGGATCCAAAATAAGCCACACAGCTGTCTCTAACCAACACAGTTTTATTTATAAGCAGGGCATGGTTTTAATTTAACTGATAAAATCCTCCACTTTGTAGGTGAAGGCACTTGGTGAATCCCAAACAATTTAGAACAGGTAGAACCAAAGTGTTACAGTGAGATGCACTTACAGAAATTTCTTCTCCTTCAAGAAGTTCTTCAACAACAACAGTTTCCCCAGCTGTGCCAAAACTCTTATCCTACAGTGAAACAAAATTCATTTAGTTCTGTTTCAGTTTTAAACTACTGAAAATGCAACAAGAAACATTTTTAATACAGCCAAAAATGCAGCACAGGTTTGAGATGACGAATCTATTCTCCTGCCAGGGATGTCAGCAGATGTGAAATCCCTACTCCTCTTTTCTGTTTACTCTTAAATAAGTGCAGGATTATTTATTATTATTTATTACTGAATATTTTCAAATGGCAGAGGGTATTTGTGATTACTGAGCAATTCCTCATGCTCTGCATTCTGAAATTCCCCCCAAGAGCAGTGACAGCCAAGTCTCCAGTCTGCACTTTCACTGGATAAAAAAGTGCAATTTTATACAACACATGGGAAGGGAGCCAGATTCTCATATCCCAGTGCAATGTTTGAACACTGACTGCATATTCTGGGTAATTAAGAAATTAACAACAACCAGCCCACACTGCCAAGGTGATTTTGGGGGTCTCTAGAAATGTCTAACTTGCAGGTTTTTTGTACAAGACATTGGGCCCTGTTCAGATATGAATTGTCCAGTGACCTTAGACCACCCAAAATGTGACTGCAGCCCCCATGCTCTGACTCTTGATGCACAAGTGTGTCAGATAATGTCTCCCATGGATCAGCAGAGACCCACTGGAATTTTAGGATGCTTGTGCTGCTGACACCAGCTGAGGGCCTGACCTGGGAGCCTCAGCTCTGTGTTCCTCATTGGGCAGATAAAATTACTTCATTTGGCCTCACTTCAAAACTTGAAGCTCCAAATATATTTGTGAAATATCCTTCCTCAGTGTGAGCTTCACTTGAAATAATCCCAGCAGAATTTGACTGCACATTGAAGTGCTGTGCTTAGTCCTAATGGTGCTTGTAAAAATCCACCTCAATCACTGAGTTCCTGCACTGTGGGACCTGTTGAACTGCAGGAGTCTCAAACAGTGAAAAAGAAAAAGGAATTGCATACATAAGTGAAATAAGGGTGAGTTTTCATGAAGAATGGTTTTATTTTAGCCTACAGGAACAAGCAATAAATACAACAGAGTTTCACAGCTGGCCAAACAAAAGGGTATAAGGTTTGATGTCTTACAGCCAAGTTCCTATTGCATGAAATAAGGAAAATCTGTGATGCTCTGAGGCGGTGAGGAGCTGGTTTTGTGTGAGACATCCCTTCTCACCTGCATGATTTCAGTGACAGCTTTGCAGGCCTCTTCCTTGGTCGATGCCACGATGACTCCTTTGCCAGCTGCCAAGCCACTGGCTTTGACAACCAAAGCAGGGAAGGTGGCACTGCCAAGGCACAGGACAGACATTCAACATAAACAGGCCTTGCAAGGACATTCTGAACATTTCAAGAGTTGAAAGATCAAAGTACTTCTCAGTTTTCATGGCAACCTTATTGAGTAACACACAAATCACACCAGGTTCCTCTCATTATGCTCTGCCTGAAAAAGGATCCTCCTTCTTTTCCCCACCAGGGAATTTCCTGACTGTTCATTACTGCTTTCCATTTGGGAATTTCCTCTTGTATCATCTGTGGTCACCTGGGTTGTTCTGTGATGAGCAGATCATCAGTTCAGTTGGAGCAATTCTCCAGATTTTTTTTTAGTGGAGAAAAAGAAAAAGAAGCCAGCACAGATGGCTCTGGGCTGCTCCCTGCCTTTCCCCAGCAGGCAGACTGACAAAAAAGCCACAAAAGCTTGTCCTACATTATCCTGTGATCTGAACACTGAACTTTCATTTCATTTTAGAGCAGGAGGAACCATTTTTTTCTCAGACTTGCAGCAGTTTGAGAGAATCACGGTAGGTGACCCTTTGAAACCTTCGCAGATGTTCTATCCCAAAGGCATTGATAGATGAGCAATCACTGGATATCCAGCACACTGTCAGTAAGAAAATGTCTAAAATGACAAGAATTGTACCTGTTGATAAAGGCACATGCTGCTTTGGGATCAGTGAAGGATTTCCATCTGGCAGTGGGGATCTCGTGACGATCCAGAAAGGCTTTGGTAAAGCTCTTACTGGACTCCAGCTGAGCTGCCTTTGCTGTGGGGCCAAAGCACTTGATCCCAGCTGCTGTCAAGTCATCCACAATTCCTAAACACAAAACATGTTATAAACCTCCAGATGATTTCTGGGAGTCAGGCCAGCCATGTCCAGGGCTGCACTGATTCCTTGGAGCAAGAATGCCAGGAACAAGAAGTCATCTGTGTCTGCAGTGCCTGTTTTCCTCAGTGGAACCAGGAGCAGGTAACCCTGCACCACTGCAGGCCCTCAGGCTGTGCTGGGTTTGGGAAGAGATGACAATCCCTCCCTGGTTTAGGACACCTTTTGAGTTAAAAGGTCAACATAAGTCTTTGATGAAGATGCCAAAATGTTTAAGCAGAAAAACTACCAGCATTTTTATAATTACATTTTTTTACCAAGACTCAAATTATAATTATTTCAAAAGATGAAAACTCCATGGGAAAACCAGAACTGACTTTCTTGCCCCTTCAGAAAATCCTTTTCACCTCAGAACAACTCTGGATTTCAGGGAAACTGCTCCAGAGGATCTGTTTCCATTCAGACTGGAGACACTGCTGAATGATGCACAGATGAGGACTAAAATTTACTTTTCTTCCTAAATGCTGAAGGCTGTGATTTCCAGCTTGTGTCTCTTACCAGCAGCAAGAGGAACCTCGGGACCAACCACCACCAGCCTGATGTCCTGGTCCTTGCAGAACTGGGCAACAGCAGCATGGTCACTGACTGGAACAGCTGTTGGAGACACAAAACAGGAAAAGATCCCATCCATGAGTGCTCCTCAGCACTGAGTTATCCCAGAACACTCACCAGCCTCACCTTCTGGGCTGCCAGGGCACTGGGAACCTGGAGGAGTGAGGCGCACACTGACAGAGACTCACCCAAAACACAGCCCCAAACCCCAGGCAAAGGCTCTGGCTGGACATCCACTGTCAGAGTCATAAATCATGGAATGTCCTGAGCTGGAGGGACCCCCAGGGATCCCCCAGTGCCTCCCTGCCCTGCCCAGACCCCCCAACAAGCCCAGCCTGGGCATCCCTGGATGCTCCTGGAGCTCTGGCAGCCTCGGGGCCGTGCCCATTCCCTGGGGAGCCTGGGCAGTGCCAGCAGCCTCTGGGGAAAGAAGAGCCTTGCCCTAAAAGCCAACCTAAATCCCTGCTGGGCCAGCTGCAGCCGCTCCCTGCTGCTGTCCCTGTGGCAGGAGCAGAGCCCGGAGCTGTCCCTGCGCTGCCCCTCGGGAGGAGCTGCAGCCCCGGGGAGCTCTGACCTCAGGCTCCTCCAGGCTGAACTGACCCAGTGACCTCGTGGGGCCCCTCCAGACCCTTCCCCACCTTCATAGCCCTGTCAACACACCTTGCTCTTGAAGGTGACAAAAAAAATCTCTGGGATCCCCTGGGCTGCCAGCCAGCCAGGTCTGATCCCTAGGAACACCCTGTTAGCCCAAGCAGCATCGCAAATAATCCAAGAAAATAAAAAATTCTAAAGGAAAAAAATATAACTTTCTTTCCAGCAAGTCTCCTCCCTGACGAGGGTCACCATGGAGCTTTACAGAGGTAAGACCAGGCTGGATGGGGCTTGGAGTAGCCTGGGACAGTGGGAGGTGTCCCTGCCCATGGCAAGGGGTGGCACTGGGTGGGCGTTAAGGTCCCTTCCAACCACAACCATTCCACAGTTCTGTGATTTTAAGATGTTGGTGCCAGGAGGGTGTTGGGGATGAAACAAATGGCTGGTGGTAGAATTCCAACTCATCCTTTTTCTTTTTTCTTTCTTTCTGTAGTGCCACCTAAAAATTGCACTAAACTGAGCCCTTTGAAAGCAAGGGGAAGCAGAACTATTTTTTTTTACATTATGGTGAACTTAATTAAGAAGGACACTGTGCTGTCATTATGGCTGAGGGCATGTGGGCTCAGGCTGTTACAACCATTATCTTTCCAAAAACAAACATTCAGTGTGATGACACTTGGAATGCCCCAAACTGTGCAAACAAAAGAAACATCCTCCACCAAAGACAATAATGTCAATCTCATGATACAAAAGTTACGCAAAGACCCTGCAATTCCACGGCTTTTATCATGAATAAATAAAGCCAAGGTCTGCAGAGGATGGAAACACGGATCCAGAGAGCCAGAAAAGAGAGGAGGCCAGTGTGGATTGGCTGCTTGTGCAGGGAGGAGACTGCACACACCAGGGCACGGTGCTGGCAAAGGGAGAACAGAATCCCAGGATCACCAGGGCTGGAGGAGCCCTTCAGGACCATCCAGTCCCACCCAACCCCAGCAGCAGCATCGCCCCAAACCCTGTCCCCAAGGGCCACATCCACACTCCTCTGGGACACTCCCAGGGACAGCGACTCCAAACCTCCCTGGGCAGCTCATCCCAAGGTCTGACCACTCTTGTAGAGAAAAATATTTTCCAATCTCCAATCTGACCCTTCCCTAGTTTAATTTAGGGCCATTTTCTCTTGTCCTTTCCTTAGGCCATGGCAGAAGACTGGAATTACACCGGGAGCTGATGGTCTCCTCCAGCCAAATTCTGGGGAGTGATGGGAGGAAGGAGGTGACAGGACTTTGGTCAGTGCCCACTGTGCTCCCTTACCCTGGATGAATAAATTCATGGAAGCATTGAACCCCAGACTTGTTTGGGCTGGGAGGGACCTCAGAGCCCACCCATTCCCAGCCCTGCCATGGCAGGGACACCTCCCACTGTCCCAGGAGCTCCCAATGTCCAGCCTGGCCTTGGGCACTGCCAGGGATCCAGCTGCTCTGGGAATTTTCTTCCCTCCCAGGGAACAATTCCTGCCCACAAAATTTCCTGATTCCACAACAGAATCTACATTTTGGTTATAGGTTTACCCTATTCAAGTGAGGTGGGGGAACACCCAGACAGAACACAAATAAAAATCACCTCCTTGGCTCCTCTTTAACAGCCCAGTTATTTTGTTCCACCAACAAAGGCATTTGACATCTGTGTGCAGTTGATGCCAGTTGACTGCTAGCTCACCCACAAGCACAACACACCTGTGCCAGAGCCTCCTCTCTTCCCAGGGAAGGATTCCTTCCCAATATCCCATCCAACCCTGCCCTCGGGCAGTGGGAAGCCATTCCCCCTTGTCTCAGCACTCCAGATACTCCCGTCCCTCTCCAAGCAGGAGAGCCTGGAATTCACCCCAAACTTCTTTGCTGCAGGTTTGATCTCATGATATGAACAGTGAGTGTGGCACAAAATTTACAGGATGGAGAAATGTCCTAAGGACAAACAAGGAGGAAAAAATCATGTTGTTTTTCGTGATTTTAACTTTCCCCCCAAGTGCCATCGTTCTCGGGTTGTTGACTGAAAGGGGACATTTCTGTAGCTGTGTTTGACTGCTTGAAACAACAGCTGAACATTCCTCTGGAACCAGACAGGAAGACCCTGCACCAAGGATTTCAAGGGTGGAGCTTAAATTTAAGAGCACAAGTTACACTGAGAGGTAAAATGTGACAGAAGGAGATGTCAGGATGGTGAAGTCCATTCACAGGCACACTAATGCATTCAGCAAGCCATTGTCTGTACTTCTGCACCAAAACTGCCCTGATAATCCACCTAAATTAAATATAAACCTGTATTTAGGCACCCAACCTAAATCCCACTTTATTGCTGGGAACCAGCTCACATCAAGCACAAAAAATATTTTTCTTACTTGAGTACAGACTAAGTTTGAAAGATTTAAGGTTATTTGTAATTTTCAGCTCACCTTTTCATATTTCAGTAATCACCCAAGACCCAGAGCTTCAATCCTAATTAAAGGCAATTCCATGACCACGAAGGGAGGACAAACTTACAGAGCCAAATCTTGATTATAGCAAAAAAAAAAAAAAACCATAAACCAGGGAAGGAGATTCCCAGATATCCCAAGTATTGTTTCCCACACAACATAACAGGGCTCATGTGCTGCTGTAAAGCTGTTCCACATTTTCCACCCTGAATTAAATCAAGGCCCCAGTGACAGCACTGGAATTCCTGAATAGGTGAGACAAATTCTTTCCTTAAAAACCCACACAAGTCAAACTCTTCATAAATTCTAGGTTCTTCCTGGGGTGGTGAAGATTTCTCTCCCAAAGCACAGGTGAGTCCATCTACAGAACAAAACCATTTATTCCACATGGGAGAGATTTCATGGACCTGGCTTGAGATCAAGCATTTTCCACCTACTGGTGCAGTGTTTTTAATGGGATGAAAGAGAGAAAAAAACAGAGGGGAGTTCAAAAAGGCACAGCTTGAAAAAAAATGCTGGAATTCCCATTCCACAGGCCCTGCAGCCTGGCACTGAACCCATTCAGCACAAGGGTAAAGGGTTTTTTTTTGACTTTCTGGTCTTGTCAAGCTCTTCAGAGGCCAAACAGAGCAAAAAACTGGAGTGAGGAGAAGCTCACTCATGATGCTGTGACTGGTCAAAGAAATGATGGACCAAGTTGTTTCAAAAGCCTGTAATTAAGCATTCCAATGGAATTCTATTCAATAATTACCTGCTGTACAAGAACCTGGCAGCACTCACGTTTCCCCATGAGACAGCAACACGCAAAGCTACTCCCACACCAGCACAAGTGCAGAAAATGGATGTGTCTGATCCACATTCACATGCACCCTGTCTTAACTTGAATTCCACACCTTATCACATGTTCCAAAGGGAAAACTGAAGTCTCAGGCGAGTTAAAGCCCCTAAATCAGGATCTGTTCTGTAAAGGACACAGGAATCTCTGTGGTCTGCACTGATTCCCTGCGTGCCAGCACCTCAGACCACACTTTTTTGAAATGCAGCTCAAAATTCTGGATGCTCAATTTGCAACATCTGAAGCTTGATTTCTTCAAACTAATAACTATGAAAAGTTTCAATTGCAGCAAGTCAGAGCTTAATATATTAAAGAGCTCCAACCCAGCAGTCAGTACACAGAGAGAGAAACATTTGAAGATAACCTTGATTTCTTAAGGTCACCAAGACAAAGGAATGAATTTATGTTCACAGTGACAAAGTGTCCTTGTCACAGGTTGTGGGGATCATGGGGTTTCGACACACTTCTGAGAGCACAAGAGGGAATTTAGGTGGCAGCCACAGCAATTATCCTGAGCTGAATTTCCAGAGGAACAGCTCTGGCTGAATCCTCCAAACCCAAACCTAAAGAATGAGATTTCACAGCTGAGATCTTATAAAATTAATTACACAACTTACACAAGGCTTTGCTCAGGTTTTGGCTTTTTTTTTCCTCTTAACTGCATCTAAAATCTATTTCATATGCCCAAAACCTTGAAAAATAGTAATCCATCATCATTATTATTATTTCATTATCATCATCATCCTTTCACACTACCAGCTGTGATTTCAGCTCACTCAGCAACATCTCGGTTGAATTATCAAATTTAAAAATGGTATTTTTTTTGGTTTTACCTGAATTGGAGATTTTTCCGTTGTCAGCTGTCCCTGCATTTCCTGGAGCCACAAACACGTGTTTGACCTGCGGGGACTGGGCCAACTTCCAGGCCAGGGCGTGTTCCCTGCCTCCGCTGCCGATCACCAGCACCCGCTCAGCCATGGCCCTGCAGGAAAGCAGGACAAAGGAAAACAGCTGGAATTAGCTGGGGAAAGTGGGGAAAACAAGAGCTTCAGGGACCATGAAGTGCTGGAGAACTTCATCAGATGTGATACACACTAAACTTCCAAGGCTGAACCGCCTGTCAGGAACCTGACAGGAAAACTATCCTGGGTTTGATTGGAAATTGCTCCCACTTATACAGAAAACTGGGATAGAGGAAAAACCCTGATGAGTAACCAGGCTGGGATTTGCAACCTAGAGAATCACAGACTTCCTGAAGGGTTTGGGTTGGAAGGGGTCTTAAAGCCCATCCAGAGCCAGCCCTGCCATGGCAGGGACACCTTCCACTGTCCCAGGCTGCTCCAAGCCCAGTGTCCAGCCTGGCCTGGGACAGGGATAGGGAGTCCACAGCTTCTCTGAGCAACAATTCCTCGGAGAATCCAAACCTGCAAAGGTCAAAGCCCTTCTAATGCAGCCACTGTATGAACACAGAGTGTTTGGAGCTGGATGGGGCCATTCAAGAGATTTTAGAGGCAATGACTGAAAAGCTCTGAACACCTCATGGCAAGGAAAGGCTTCAAGCAATGAGACAAGGAAGTAACTTCCAGCTCTGGGTTTCCTTGGAAAGAACAACCACAGGGCCAGCAACAGGTGGAATTAATAAAGGAGTTCACTCAGACGAGGTAGTATGGGGTATCCACTCCACTGTCCCATTCCAGTGAGGTCTGGAAAAGCACAGGGACATTCTGCTGGCCAGTGGGTGCAGGGATAACCACGTCACTGCCTGGGTGTGCACACACAGCTTACACACGTGGGGCTCACAGCAAAAGTACAACATGTTCCCTGAGCTGCTCTGGAAGCCTCTGCTCTCTGAGATTTACTGCTCTGTACACTCTCCACATATTTACTGATGGAAGAGTTCACTTGCAATGACAAAATCCACTAGAATTCAGAAAACAGTAAAGAAAGAAAGGAAAGAGGATGTAACTTATAAACTGGTTATGTATGTCCTTATTTGGAGCTAAAATGATAGTCTGGGTTGGGTTGGGTTGGAGGGACCTTAAAGCTCATGCCATTCCAACCCCCCTGCCATGGCAGGGACACCTCCCACTGTCCCAGGAGCTCCCAATGTCCAGCCTGGCCTTGGGCACTGCCAGGGATCCAGGGGCAGCCCCAGCTGCTCTGGCAATTCCATCCCAGCCCCTGCCCACCCTGCCAGGGAACAATTCCTGCCCAAGATCCCATCAAATCCTACTCTGAAGCCATTCCCTGGCTCCTGGCCCTGCAGCCCTTGGCCCCAGTCCCTCTCCAGCTCTCCTGGAGCCCCTTCAGGCCCTGCAAGGGGCTCTGAGCTCTCCCTGGAGCTTCTCCTGGCCAGCTGAGCACCCCCAGCTCTCCCAGGCTGGCCCCAGAGCAGAGGCTGTAGGGAATCACCTCCCACTCTCCCTGTGCTGGGGGGAAGAACAGAGCCCAGAGAAGAGTTTAGGACAGAAAGCCAGGAGTGTCCCTGATGTAATCCCAGCACACGCAACACACATCAGGGTCACCCTCTTCACACAGCCGGTCACTGACCCGCACGTGTCCAGTGCCCCTGGTGAGCCCAGAGCCCCCCCTCTGCAGGGCAAGAGAGGATGACAACACAAAATATATCTTGAAAAGATATATAAAAAAACCCAAAACAAAGCCCAGAAGATTTCTAAGAGAAAAGCAAAAATGATCCAAAGCAGACTTTCAGATAAGGCAGGGATGTGCTTTTCCCTCACATCAGCTGCTACAGCTTGACTTGACTAAAGCTGCCCTGATGAAGCAAAATATCTGGATTAGGCAAAACATCCTGACAGAATTAAGTCCAAAATACATGTGGATAGAAGGATAAAATACAGAAAATTAACTCTGAGTTGTTTGCTATCAACTAAACACACCAGAATTAACATTTAATGGTAGTTTCATGCTGGGGAAGACCAATTGGTTTCTAATCCAGCCTAGAGCCAAATATTGCAATGTTACAGACATATTTTAAATATAAAACTCTATGATTACTTGCAATAAAAAAGCTCAGGTCAGGCTAAAAATTGTAAGTTATGGTGCAGTTGTTTGGGAAACCACATTATGCTCAACTCTTTTATATTACAACTCAAGCAGGAAGAAAAGAATGAGGCATACAACAGAGGGGTGAATTAGATAAAGACAGCAATATCACAGTAAGGTAGAAGAACATTTATCACACAGCAGGCAGCTGTCTCCTTGAAGTTAAAAGAGCACTGCCAGCAGTGTCCAGAGCCAGTGGGCACTAAACAGTATTTTTTAAGGCAAATTTTATCAATAATAAGTTGAACTATACACATCATTGTTTTCTGAAAAAAAAAAAAATTTAAAACTTTTAACTTTTAAAATGTTAAAAAAATATTTAAAAATTTAATTAAGTTAAAACTTCAAACCAGGATTATTTAAACCCAAGGGAGCCCCTACTCACTCTGTGCTATGTGTACCAGGCTGAGGAGAGCAGGACTCAGGAGCTCAGAGGCACAAAGAGAGCAGAGATTGGCAGCCCCTGGTTAAAATGTCCCTGCCCCGACATTCCCGCCCCACTGATGACCCCACAGCCAGCCAATGGTCAGGGAACTCCGGCCATTCCAGCTGGGAACAGGGGACAGAAGCTTCCCTACAATTGCTGGAGGAGTGAGAGGCAAAAACTGTGCAGGACAGGAGAAGCTCATCCTGTTGTTTCTAAACAGCAAAATAAATTCTGCCCCATACCAGGTATTTTTTTTTTCTCAGTTAAAAACTGTTTATTAATAAGCTTGTGAACATTCTCTTTATATATAAAAATCAGGATCTACAGTTTTGCAATAAATAAAAATTAGTCTATGTAATCAACAGTGTGATAAATAAGGGGTATGATGCAAATTATCATGGAATGGTTTGGGTTGGAAGAGACCTCAAAGCCCAGCCCTGCCACGGCAGGGACACCTCCCACTGTCCCAGGAGCTCCCAATGTCCAGCCTGGCCTTGGGCACTGCCAGGGATCCAGGGACAGCCCCAGCTGCTCTGGCAATTCCATCCCAGCCCCTGCCCACCCTGCCAGGGAACAATTCCTGCCCAAGATCCCATCCAGCCCTGCTCTCCTCCAGCTTAAGGCCCTTAAGAAATTCACACTCCACCAAGCCTTCACTGCTGATCAGCACAGCCTGAAGACCCAGTGACACTGTGGCCACCTCAAGGGACTCACCACGATGGCAACTCACTCAAGAGTCACCTCCTTTTCCTCCCTGAGGCAGCATGCTCTGGTACTATTGTCATCTGGAAGAATTCATCACGTACAGCTTTCTATGGGAGCAGTAAATACAACAAGCCATGCCTGATATTGTTAATCACTTGATATCAAAATATGAGTGCAAATTAAGTTTCACACATTTGTTTTGAAGCTCGGTGTTATTTGTGCATCCCACTATGGTATCCTAGCAACTTTTATTTAGGAATGTGGCTTGAGAAGAACTTGTGGTGGCAGTGCCAGTTTAGGAAGGCTCAGATGTAGCCATGGCAGCCTCTGTTTTACACTGACACTCAAAATGTCATGGAGGCCCCTCTGCTGCCCAGCAGCACCTCACTTCAAAAATAAAGATCCCAAGAGGCAACATTCCTTTTTATTTTTGTCACTGATCCAGTAGTCAAAAATTTGTTCTCAAAAGACCTAAAGCCAATCACAAGGTAGATATTTACTCTGTGAGGATTATCACACCCCCAGGCATTTTGGAAGCAACATGTGAAATCCTTAAAGATTCCAAACCACAGGATGTCATTACCTTCTGCAACCATTGTCTGCTTTGGTAAAGAAGGAGGAGATGTTTGTTTAAAAGATGTTTTAAAATGAAGATAAGGGACATTTCAGGAGAGGGTCTGCTGTTAGATCCTTATATGAAGTGAGAAGAGGAAAGAAGAAATGAGTTAATCACTCCGTGTATCGGGGGAGAGGAGGCAAGGACAGAGTGAAGACAAGGAGATTCCCAGAGCTTATCCCCGAGGATGCCAGGACAAAGTCAGCAAGGAGGAGCATCAGCCTGGAGACCTTTATCCTCACTGCAGGAAGGCAGCTGGGGCTCACCAACAAACCAGGGAACTCTTCCTCGTGACCAGGGCCTGTGGAGCAGAGAAAATCAAGTGAGGGAGGCAAACCCCACAGTCCTGAGAGCTTTTCCCATCCCGATTCCTGCACAGGGAGGCTCCAAACACAGGGAGCAGTGACAGGAGGCTACTCAGGTGCTGTCCTTCCCCTGTCCCTTCCTAGGGACAGGAGCCACTGACCTTCCCAAACTTACCCTGTGCACACACCTGGGGGTTACACTCAGCTCCCTGGCTGCATTTATGAACAAAACTCTGTAAGAAAACATTAACTGCTTAAGCAATTTATTCTCCAGTGTCATGCAAGATATCTAAATATTCAATCTGGGTGGAGTATTTTAATAAGGCAGTGCCTTATCACCTCACCTCAAACTACAGCAGGAAAGGTGCAACTACAATCAGATCTCTGCACTCCAGCACAAACAGCAAAGGCTCTGACTGAAGCTCACTTCAGTCAGTGCATTTTTTTTCTTTTTAATTAAGCTCCAGTGCTGTTGGTTTCCTCTGCGCCCCTCTGTATATTTGATTCCCAACACTGGGATTCAGGAAAACTGATGCAGGCATTTGAGTTTCTTTAGATCAAAGATGTGGTCCTTGCCCAGAGTGTCTTAATTCAGGGCCAGCTTGGATGGGGCTTGGAGCAACCTGGTCTAGTGGAGAGTGTCCCTCAGCAGAGCAAGGAGCTGGATGAGTTCTGAGGTCCCTTCCAACCCAAACCAGCCTGGGATGCAATGAACTCCTACCCTTCCTAGAGCTGAGTCAGAAAAAGTGCCCAGCAGTGACAGCACTTTCCCAAACACTGCAGCTCCAAGCTCAGTGTCACTGTGAAGGTTCAAATCCACAACCCCCAGCCCCTGGAGAGGAGCTCTCGTCACTTGGCTTTGGACTAAAGGACAAGGTTCATTCTTCCTCTTGCAGTCAGGCAGGAGAAGAAAAAAATGAATTCTCATAGGAGACAGGAAAAAGCCCAAACTGGGAATACTGTGCAGTTCCCACCCTACTGAGGGCTGTGTGTTTCTGACCCCAGCAGTCTGAGCTGTTTATGAGTTTCAGGGTTTTTTTCATAGACTTGTAATGGGATAAAAAAGTCAATAGAAGGGATTGGAGAAGCCAAAACTTGCAACTTCCTCCTCCCAATTTCAAACTTGAAACTTTCTCCCCTCAACTTCAATTCCCTCCTATAGGATCCAAATTGTCATCCTTCACTCTGCTCCCAAACTCACCCACAGCCAGGCTGGGTGGCCCCAAACCCCTGTGAGCTGAACCAGCTCTTGTGCTCCCTGAACTAACCCATGGTTTGAGTCTCTCCTTAGGAGCCCACTGCACATTCTGAGCGCTCCCAGAGCTCGGCATACAGCAGGAGAGCTCCGAGCCGGCCTTCCCAGGGAATCTCTGCCAGCTGCTGGCCCCTGTTCAGGCTCGGGATGCGCAAGCTGCAGGTTCAGCGACTGCGGGTGCACACGGGGCTGAGCTGCCCATGCCTGGGGCAGCTCCCCATTGGTCCCACCAACCTCTCCCCCTCCAGGCTCTCCTCTCCTCTCCCTCCTGCCTGTGCCAAGGGAGTGTGGTCACTCGGATCAGGAAAACAATGCTGGAAAGCTGACACCATGATGGTAACCAGTGCAGCACAGTAAATATGTCTGTATGGATATATAAAGGAAATACTCCCAGCTTAGCGAGCTGAGCTAACTCCCTGAGGGATGAAGGATCACCACAGCGAGGACAAGGGAAGCAGCAGCACAAGGCAGCCAGGGAGGGTGAAGAGAGCAAGCCCAGCTGTGCCCTTGGATCATCCCGATGGATGGAGTGACCAGGACACATTCGGTGGCTGCAAGTTTGCATTCCAAATCCCACCTCCTGCCCCAGCCTGCTCCTTGTCCCAGGGAGAGACACACCAGGAAACCGGGGGCTGGGGAGGGGAAGACATCCACCTCTTCCTGCATTTTTGTCCTGTGTGGCTCCGTTTCCAGAGGGAATTCACTGTGCCAAGCGTGCAGGCAGCTCTGAAGCACAACAAAAAACAGCCATGGCAACCAAATCTGCAAAATGGCCAGAATCTTATGAGGGAATTGCAAGTTTAGACTGGGGCAGGATTAGGCTCATCCTGAAGGAAAAAAACACAGCCTTAAAAAACTTTTCACTTCCTCAGGCTTCAATACATGAAGAGCTGCTTAAGTAGCTTAGAGGCTTCCAAAATCTGGTGGCAATTATGATTTTCAGTTAGAGTTTTGGGTTAAATAAGCTTTTTTTTGCTCATGTGTTCTATTTAGAAAAAAATCCTATCTCTCACCTGGCTATATATAATATGAAAGGTTTGAGTTGGAAGGGAGCTTAAAGATCGTCTTCTTTCACCTCCTGTCATTCAGTGTGGTGTAGAAAACAAAATAGAAGAAAAGTCATTATTATATGTATCTTTCATGTTCCAAGCTGAAGCTCTGCAAGACAGGCCCCTTATGTCCAGGTATGATACTCCAAACAGCTGGATTTGGCATTTTTCTAGGGAAAACATTCCCTCAAGATTTGCTGCTAAAAATAAATAAGATCATAAACTTTTACAACCACCCCCATAGTACTAAATTTGACACCTCAAGCAATGTAGGATGCTCAGTGTTTTGTACCATGACAAGGGGGAGAAATACCCTTGAAATGCACTTTCTGTATTACCCTTTCAGCTATATACACAAAATAGAGGCATAAGTATTAACTCTGCTCATTAATTCCAATATCTACTGGATAAAAAGAATGCTTAAAAAGCTGGTAAGCCCCCAGCTTTGCAAACAGCAGGGAAAGAATCCAAGTGAATCAAAGTCCAAAACCAGGGAGGTTGGAAGTTGAGTATTTACTTCAAGCAAATATTTCACCACTTTGGCTGTGAAGGCCAAGCCGTGAGGGGATTGCTATGAGGGCCAAGCTGTGATGGGGATGCCATGAGGGCCATGCCGGGAGAGGATCTGCCATGAAGGGGATGCCGTGAGGGCCATGCCCTGAGGGTACTGCTGTGGGGGTTATGCTGTGAGGCCATGCCATGAGGGGACTGCAATGAGGAGATTGCCATGAGGGGATCGCTGTGAGGGGATTGCCATGAGGGTCAAGCCTTGAGGGCATCTGCTCTGAAAGGGACGCCGTGAGGGCCATGCCCTGAGGGTACTGCCATGAGGGCTATGCTGTGAGGCCATGCCATGAGGGGACTGCCGTGAGGGGGGTGCCGTGAGGGTCAAGCCCTGAGCGTACTGTATGAGGGCTATGCTGTGAGGGCCAAGCCATGAGGGCATTGCCATGATGGGATTGCCACGAGAGCCAAGCCACGACAGGGATGCCATGAGGGGGGTGCCGCGAGGGCCATGCCGTGAGTGAATTTGCCCTGAAGAGCGGGGATGCCGTGAGGGCTGCCCCGCCATGTTACGGCGCGGGCACGGGAGCACATGT